AGGTTCCGCGCAATACTCATCTCTGCCATTTCGCACCCTGTCACTGCTGAGGTATATTCGGAACTGCTGCCGACGTAGAATAAAACAGTTGCTGTTGTTAGTTCCCCGTAATATAACATTTACTGGCATTTGCTTCCTGGGTCTTTTAAATGTGCAGGCAGGGGCATTGCAAACGAATGTGCATGGGTGGAAAAGAGTCTTCAGCCGTGTGACGGGAAAGAGGGTGTGTAGCTGTCAGTCTTCGATGCGACACGAGAGTGGTGCTACAAGCATGTCTGTATTTTCATCTGTGAGGCACTAGAGAGTTTTGAGGCCCAAACCAGACCTTATGTAGGAGATGGGCGATTGGATTTCCAGATATTTCCTTTAAGACTAAAACTGGATTGAGGCTGTGGTGCTGGGGGAAAGGGTGGGGAGGGGGGCTTTACCAATTACAGCTTCCTGCTTTCCACTATTAGCTGCAATGCAAGGTTGCCAACTCCAGGTTGGGAAATTTCTGGAGATCTGGTGAGAATGGGATTTGGGAAGGGATCACAGTGCCATAGAGCCCATCCTACAAACTAGTCATTTTCTCCGGGGGAAGGGAGTGCTGTTGTCTGGAGAGCTCTTGTATTGCTGGCTCCACCAGGATGTCCCTTAGGGAAAATGGGGGGGGGGGGGGGGGGTTAAATTTTTCTCCTTTTGCACTCCAGCCTTGATCCGATTCAACCCCCCTCCCCCCCAAAGGCTGCTTAAAGAAAACACGGGGAGAGACCCGATCACAGATCGCCCGTGTGACGTGTGGATCCGCCGTCACGAGACGCCCCGCCGAGAAAGGATGTCGGGTAGGGCGCAGCCGAGAGGCCCCTCGCTCGGTGTTACGTTCCCAGCTCAAACGTTGGCTCTGCCGGGTTCCCCAGCCGGGGCCAGCGGTTGATGTCAGTGCCGGAGCCCTTGGTAGGCATGCCCCCCCCCACTCCTCCTCCTCCTCGGGGCTGCTCAGGTTTCCCTCATGACCCGAGCGTGCATCTCTGTTCGGAAAATGGCAAAGTTTCTTCCGCGCACCGTCGAGAGTTGGCACCGCGCGGCGGGCGGGGCGGCTTCGGTGGGGAGGGCGGCAGCGCCCCCTGGCGAGCCCGTGCCTGGGAGATGACGCAACGTGTCTTGCTCAGTGCCGCCCTCGCCTCGGCGGCTTGGCCAGGGATTAACCCCTTCCCTCTCTGCGAGGGACGCCGGCGGAGCTCTAAGAGAGATGGCATGATGACGCAATGAGGCCCCTGCGCATAGAAATCTAGCATTTCAAGGAGAAGAGTTTTGCTCCCCCCCCCCGGCCATCAGGTCACAGCTCACTTATGGAGACCCGACCCCCGGGGGGGTTTCAAGGCAAGAGACCATTCAGACGTGGTTTGCGTTCAGAGATGGTTTGCCGTTGCCCGCCTCCGGGTCACAACCCTGGTATTCCTTGGTGGCCTCCCGTCCAAAGACTGACCGGTGCCAACCCTGCTTTGCTTTGCAGATGAATATATCAATATCGTTGAAAAGTTCCCTTCAGTCGCCTGCAGTCCAAAGCATTAGAGGCATAGTGAATGCCAACCTCCAGGCGGGGCCTGGAGATCTCCCAGTATTATAATTTATCTCCAGATTATAGAGATCGATTCCCCTGGAGATGGCAGCTTTGGAGAGAGGACTCTATGGCATTGTACCTATTGAGGCCCCTCTGCTCCCCAAACCCTGCCGTCTCCAGGCTCCACCCCCAAAATCTCCAGGTATTTCCCCACCCAGAGCTGCCAACCCTGAATTCTATCCAGATGTGGGTTTACCGTCTCACTGGGAAATAGGGCAGAAAGGCAAAATGTATAAATTGTGCTGTTAAATAGGAATTAATGAGCGTAACTCACCACCAGTAGAGCTGGCCTCTTAAAAAGACACATTTAAAAAGCTACACAGAGGAGGAAGCACTAACTAAAGTCCATCAAGGGCCCATTCTGTTTCCAGCTGTAGCCACCTGGATGCCTCCCAGAAGCCCCACAAGCTGAGTGTGGCAGCTGCACCTCTTGCTTGTGCCTGCTCGGAGATAGACTGTTCCTGCCTATGGAGGGTCCATTTTTAGTTATCATCATGGCTAATAGCAAGTAGATCTTCACATCTCCCCCCTCTATCTTTGATAGATAAGACCATCTAATTTGACAGTGGCCAGACCAGTACCTCTGGGGAGTTCAGAAGCAGGGTGTAAAGCTAGACTGCCTTTGAAACTGGAATTATTATTATTATTATTATTATTATTTTCAATTTGTATCCCGCCTTGCCAGAGAATCGGCTCAAGGCTAGCAGCTGCCATTTAAACCTTTCTTCTCTGTCTAATCTGTGTTTTCAGATAATTACTAACTTAATTGCATTGTTCAGCGAAATGAGGGAAACCCCAGGACAGCAGTGGTTCTGGACTGGTGAGGGGAAACGGCATTCTGCACATGCTCAGAGGAAACATCCTCTCTGCTGTTTCACGTATTCTAGGGCTTAGCAACAGTCGATGTGGGTGGGTGGAAACGTAAGCCCTACAGCTAGTTTGGCATCGTATGCTGTTTCCTTGCATTGCCGAAGGAGTTTGTCCCCTGGTGGTCCCTCGCTTTAGAGGGCAGAGAGAGGGAAAGTGTGCTCTTCGCATTCCCCCTGGCGTGTGTACCATACTTTGCATGCTCATGCTCTGGGAGCGGCCAGCTGGCATGCGCTGTGTTCGGCCAGCGCAGACGTTAGAGAGTGTGTCGGCCGGAGCAAGGGAACAGGTCTGGCTTGATCCCATTCCAACACAATTTGGGTGTGAGTTTGCTTAAAGGACTCGGTAGCTGTAGTGTTGCTGATGTTTGGGTTGCCCCGTCCTAAGAAAGGTTATTGTAGAACTGGAAAGAGTACAGGTCGAGGGGGGGTCAAAATTGGGTTTTTCTCCTGGGGTTGCAACGGATCTCCAGTTCCCCTGGAGAAAATGGCGGTTTTGGATGATGGACTCTATGGCGTCGCGTCCTGGATGAGCTCCCCCCCCCAAATGCCACACTTCCCATGTTCCGCCCCCAAGTCTCTGGGAACCTTCCAACCCAGAGATGGTAACCCTGGGTCAGAAGACTCTCTCTACAAAGGAAAGAGACCAACATCTGGGGCTTTGTAGTTCAGGAAAAAAAGATGACTTTGGGAGAGGAGAGGTGCCCTGGCTCAGTGTTAGAGCAACTGCTTGGCACGCAGCAGGCCCCAGATTCAGTCCCCGAAAGATCAGGTAGTAGATGCTGTGACAGACCTCTGCCCGAGAGCCTGGCCGGTCTGAGTAGACAAAAGCAGGGCTTTTTTGTAGAAAAAGGCCAGCAGGAACTCATTAGCATAACAGGCCACACCCAACAGCAGGAACTCATTAGGATATTAGGCCACACCCCTGATAGCACAGCTTATTGGCATATTAGGCCACACCCTCATGTTACCAGAAGTGTGGTCATCCAGCCACACCCACATTTTGCTTCTTATTCTGTTTACTTTGTTGACAAAACCCTGGGCTTTTTTTGTAGCAGGAACTTCTTTGCATGTTAGGCCACACACCCCTAATGTAGCCAATCCAAATGAGTTTCTGCTGTTGGGTGTGGCCTATTATGCTAATGAGTTCCTGCTGGGCGTGGCCAACTCAGGAGCCAGCCGGAACTCCGTTCCTGTGCGTTCCTGCCCAAAAATAGCCCTGGACAAAAGTGACCTGGATGGACCAAGGATAAAGCAGCTTTGTGTGTTCACAACTGAGATGTCATCAAGTTAGGAACGGTGAGGAGAGGCGAGATGGGAAATGCTTGGTCCTCCATCGTAATTCTAAAGCAGCGCATGAAACAAATTGGCGGCAGGGTCAGGATGGACAAAAGAAAGTCCTTCACGCAGAAGGCACTGTTGACTAGCTGAAATGATGTCTTTAAAGGCTGAGACAATATTAAGATGACCAGGTAAATAAAGCCTTCAGGTTCAGTGGTTTACTTTTATTATATGCGGGAGACAAATGATGGGGAAAGCACGCACACACACAAAACCTTTATTGGCATGAAAGCACAAAACGTCATGGAAATACAGGAAAATACTAAGATGCGTCACTTACATTTGCCTATTCAAGCCTCGTCTTCTGATTGCATAATATAAAAATTTTGCAACAGCTTCCATTATTTCGCAATTAGAATTAAAACAGAAGAAAGTGAACCATTGAGTCATCAGAGTGCCAGCTCTTACCCTCTAGAAATGGAGTAATAAAATGAGATCGGATGTCCCCATAGAGGGGGCAATGAAGTACGGTGTGTGCAGTGGATTCTATATCTTTTAGAGAGCAAGGACAACGTCTGTCTACATATGGTATCTGGCGGGAGAGCTGGTGGCCTTCCCAGAGGTCTCTGGCTAATTTACTGCTGAGAGCAAGACACTGGGCTAGATGGACCCTCGATCTGATCCGGAAAGGCAGTTCTGATGTTGTATCCACCGCAGTTGCACGGATATCCCCGGGTTTCCCTCTGGAGGAATACCAGCACACTTGGAACCTTTCCTAGTACAGGATGGCAGACAGAGCATCGTCTTTTATGGAGCCAGCTGGTATTTAGTGTAGGGACGCTGGAGCTCTCAAGCCATGCAAAACAGGATATCTGGCAGAATGCTGAGAAAACAACGGGGTGCCTTCCTAATCCGTCTCCTTTTTCAAATGTATCTGATTTTCTCTCTCTCTGCAAGTTTTCTTAGCTCTGCACTGGACATGGAAATTTTAGCCCATGTCGCCAGCATGCTTGAACACGCCTACTTTTTGCATCTGTGAGAGCTGGAAACTTTAATTTAAAAAAAGAAAAGAATGGGAAAACTTACACTCTCAAAATTCTGAATTCTGCAGCCAAAAGAATACAGATGGGTTTTCCCCCTTGCAGTTGCATGATCGCTGAAAACACAAACTTGGGGCACTGTTGGATGCCACAGAAACCTGTTTACATTTACCAACCAGTGAAAGACTTTTCTTTTCTTTTCTCTTCTAGGCTGGGAAGTTGGAACCGACAGTACCAAAGGATTGGCAAGTGACAAGAAGGGAATTCCTGGGGCGGTTCCTGCCTGGACCAAAGTCCCAGAAAGGTGGGTGACTAGACGTTGGCTCCACTGGTTTTTGTTTTCCTTCTCATTTGGAAATGAAAGCACCTCCCTCCTGCTTATTCACTTATTAGATGTTTGTCCCGGTTTTTCTCCAAGAAGCCCAAATATACAAATCTTCTCAATTTTGCAGAATTCAGGTTGCCGAATCCGGCATTTCTGTGTGCAGAAGTTGTGTTGCCTCTGTGCAAAATGCGTTCCCTTTTTCTAGTGTAAACCACTCAAAACAGTAAATTACCCCCGTATTTCAGTTTGTCTGATTTTTTTTTTTTTAAGATGGAGAAGGAGGAAGAAGACACCCGGGAGATTTTGCTCCCCGATTGGCAAGGAAGCGGCTCTCGTGGCCTCAACATCGAGCAGACAGACGAGGGTGTGTTTGTGAAACGGGTGACGGAGGATTCACCGGCTGCCAAAGGGGGAGTCGTGAAGGAAGGTCAGTGGAGGAGAAGGCAGGATGGGGGTAGAGAGAAGGTTGCTGAATCTAAGGCATAGACTTTGACCCAGAAAGCCCGCTGACAGACTCTTGGAGAAATCGGTTCCCAACAACAGGCATTCAGAAGAACGAAAAGTTTATTGAGACATTGATAGGATCCAGCCTGTACGTTGGCTGTGTTAGAACTGAAGATGGAGGCGATAAAGCAATAGATATACAAGGTTCAAACAGGGACCCTAAAAGGTTACAAGCTAATCACCCCCAGGTATTCCACCCACCCAAAACAAAGGCTCTGTATTCTCACCTTGGTGACATCCCCCCAACACGTAGACAAAAGTCAGACAGTGTAAGCTGAGACTCAAGGCCGGTGGATGTTCCCAGGCATGCTAATCTACAATCTACTTCAAAACATTCCAAAGCGAAAGCATTTAGAATTCACACTCTCCTGATTCCCCCTCCCAACTTCTATGGCAAGCAAGCAATAAAATGGATAATGAGTTTGACACCTGCTCCTTGAAGACTGGCTTTTGTAATGATGTGAGGGGTGCCATGAAGCAGGGAGTGGGTAGGGGGACTGGTTTTTGATCCAAAGCAGAACATGAGAGCGAGGAGAACTGAAATCTGTCCCCTTTACCCTTATTGCGCTCCTGTGAATTGTCACTTCCCCCCACCGCAGCTAGCCTTGCTTCTGGTGTTGAAGGTGGCTGGAAGAAAAATGTAGAGAATATCTGAGCCAATGGAAATAAGGGGAAGGATCCACCAGGGTTTGGCCAGTTTGGTGTAGTGGTTAAGTGCACGGACTCTAATCTGGGAGAACCGGGTTTGATTCCCCATTCCTCCACTTGCACCTGGCTGGATGACCTTGGGCAAGCCGTAGTTCTGATAAGAGCTGTTCTTGAAAAAGAGCCGTTTCTGTCAAGAGCTCTCTCAGCCCCACCAACCTCACAGGGTGTCTGTTGTGGGGTGGGGAGGGGAAAGGAAAAGCGTTTGAAAGCCGCTCTGAGGCTCCCTTGGGTAGTGAAGGGTGGGGTATAAATCCAATCTCTTCTTCTCTTCTTCACCTACATGTTCTGCTTTTATTAAAAGGTGGAAATTCTACCTTGATCTGGCTAGCCCAGTCTTGCCAGATCTCGGAAGCTAAGCAGGGTCGGCCTGCTTGGGTGGGAGGCCACCAAGAAATACCAGGGTCATGATGCAGAGGCAGGCAATGGCAAACTACCTCTGATCGCCTCTTGCCTTGAAAACCCCTCCAGGGGTTACCATAAATCAGCTGTGACTTGATGGCCGAAAAGCAGCAACAACAAAATTCTGCCGCACGCTTGAGAAAGGATTAGGAGGATTTATGTGGGACGGTAAAGGGCCAGACTGTGGAGGCCCGGATTCAAAACCCTGCACAGCTATGAAGCTCACATGGGAACTGGTTGTTCTTTCAGCCTGACTTACCTCGCAGGGTTGTTGTGAGGGGGTTAGAAAGATTCATGGAGGATAGGTCCATTTAGTAAAGGGAACCTCTGGAACCCAGTGCATGAAGGGAACATCAGGGTATGGCTTCAGCCTCCGTGCCTTGTTTGATGGCCCTCCAGAGCCACTGCTTGGCCGTCGTGAGAAATAGGATGCTGGACTAGATGGAGCACTTCAGCAGCAGAAGGAGATTGGATTTATACCCCGCCCTTCACTCGGAGTCTCAGAGCAGCTTATAAACTCTTTTTCCTTTCCCCTCCCCACAACAGACACCCTGTGAGGTAGGTGGGGCTGAGAGAACTCTGACACAAACTGCTCTTTTTCAAGGACAGCTGTGCCAGAAATATGGCTTGCCCAAGGTCATCCAGCAGCTGCATGTGAAGGAGTGGGGAATCAAACCCGGTTGTCTCAGATTAGAGTCCACACACTTAACCACTTATGATAAAACGGAAGAGGGAAGATCTACTTTGCTTTAGCTCCGGAAGAAAGGGCAGGACAAAAATTGTGAATAAATTGAATTTCCTTCACACCAGGTTTGGGCCTCAGTTGTGCCTGATTAATTTATCAAATCTGCTGCCAAAGGATGGGGTGTTAGAAGCAGGATGTGGTCCGCTAAAGCTGATGGAGGAATAAAATTCTGTAGGTCTTCATGGTGCCACTCTACTTCTCCGCAGCCCCATTCGTTTAGATGGCTTTACAAAGGGTTTAGACACTTCCTGAAGGACAGATCCATTTTGGTAGGTGTGGCTGTATCACTTCCTACCTCACAGGGTGTCTGTTGTGGGGAGGGGAAGGGAAAGGAGTTTGTAAGCCGCTCTGAGACACCTTTGGGTAGTGAAGGGCGGGGTATAAATCCAATATCTTCTCTTCTTCTCTTCTTCTTCCCTGTTCCATACGAGAAGCTGCACTCACCAAAATGGGAAGTAAGGAGATAGATTGGTTTTCTCCAGTAATACAAAAACTTGGGGATCCTGCAGTGATGTTGATGGCTTTAAAGAGGGGAGCGGGCTAACAGTGTTTACTAGCAATCATAACTAAGTAGTCCTTCCATGTCCAGAGATTGTGTATCTGAATACCAGTGACCGTGGAGCAAGTAAGCAAGAAATTTTCCCTCCCTGCCCTGCTTGTGGGGGGCTTCCGGAAGGTAGCTGGCTGGTCACTCTTAGAAACAGGATGTTGAATTAGTTGGACTTTTGGTGTGTTCTAATTGGGATCTTCTTGTGTCTGGTTTGGAGCACCTGACCATCTTTTCTTTGTGTGTTTCTGTACATTTCTTCCTCCCCCTAGGGGATCAGATAGTGAGTGCCACAATCTACTTTGACAACATGCAGTCCGGGGAAGTCACAGAGATCCTGAAGAACGTGGGCCACCACACCGTGGGCCTTCGGCTGCAGAGGAAAGGAGACCGATCACCATTGCCGGGACAGTCTTGGACGCATGACGTATTTGCTCCCAGGAGTCCAGAGGTTGTTCTGGTGAGTACATGGTGGTTTAGAGGATGTTGACAGAGGAAGGACCAGGGGTGGATACTAAAGAACCTTAGAGGCACTTGGACCTGGATCGTTCCTCTGATCTTTGGCGTTCTGGATATTCCAGGCATCCGAGCAAGTGAGAACATACAGCTGTTTTTAAATTTTCAATTGGTGGTCATTATGGTACTTAGGAGGGATACTGGGGAACTGCTGCTAATTTGGTGTAGGGGTTAAGTGCGCGGGCTCTAATCTAGGAGAACCAGGTTTTATTCCCCACTCCTCCACTTGCAGCTGCTGGATGACCTTAGGCAAGCCATAGTTCTGTCAGAGCTGTTCTTGAAACAGCAGTTCTGGAAAGAGCTCTCTCAGCCCCACCTACCTCACAGGGTGTCTGTTGTGGGGTGGGGTGGGGAAAGGAAAGGAGTTTGTAAGCCACTCTGAGACTCCTTTGGGTAGTGAAGGGCGGGGTATAAATCCAATCTCCTCCTCCTCCTCTTTCACTTCTTCTTCCTCCTCTTTTCCTCCTCTTCTTTCTCCTCCTCCTCTTCTTCCTGCTCCTCCTCCTCTTCTTCTAATTGGAGCAGATAGTACTGGGTTAGATGGACCAGTGGTTTGACTCCAAGGTAGCCTCAAATGTTCTTAAGAAGAACATCCTTTTTTTTTTTGGCCACGAACTAGAACGTATTTTTAGCTAGACAGATGTATACAGGGGTCATTTTGTAGAAAAAGAGCTAGGGGAACTCATTAGCATAACTCATTAGCATATGCCACACCCCCTGACATCAGGGGCCCGGCGGTGGACCTGCGAGGCCGGCGGGAGTGCGAGGAAGCCCCGCCAAGGCCCTCCCTGGCCGCAGGCAGGCAGGGGTGGGGAGAGGCGGGGAGGAAGCAACTTACCCTCCCTCTTCTCCTGCCTCCTCCTGGCTGAATGAGGGCCGGAAGCGGGGCAGCCGGAAGCAGGGGGCGGGGCTTCCTCATGTGCCCTGCCCCCCTGCACCTCACCCGGGGGAACTGCTTTCCCCCGCGTTCCCCCCCGAATCGACCTCTGTGTATAGAGATAGCCCGGGCTAGCCTGATCTCATCAGACCTTGGAAGGTAAGCAGAGTTGGCCCTGGTTAGTATTTGAAGGCGTAACTACCAAGGAAGTCTCAGATTGCTGTGCAGAGTCAGGCAACTGTAAACCACCTCTAACGGTCTGTTGCCTTGAAAACGCTACCGTCTAGCCATAAGTCAGCTGCAACTTGATGGGACTTTCCACCACCATCTGGATTTGGCTCTAGATGCAGAAGTACCGCAAGAGACATAGATAACAAGCCTTTCGTGTTTATGGGAAGTTTCGTTTTAACAAATCGTTCCTCTCTTTTCCAGAGCGGGGACGATGAAGAGTACAAACGGATTTACACGACAAAAATCAAGCCACGCCTGAAATCGGAAGATGGTATGGAAGTTGAGCACACGGGAACCCAAAGCAGAACCATCACAGTTACCAAGAGAGTTACCGCCTATACTGTCGACGTAACAGGACGTGAAGGTGCCAAAGACATTGACATCACCAGCCCGGAGTTCAAGATCAAGATTCCAAAACATGAACTCACCCACATTTCCAAAGCAGAGATTGAAACAGAGCCTGGGAAAACTGTAATCAAAATCCCACATGGGGATCTGTCGATGAGAACCACCCAAGTGACAGATTTCCATGCCGGGGTGACAGGAAGACCTTCCAACATTACGTATACTGGACAAACAACTGAATCACGCTCCGGGAAGTTGGACATCGGAGTTCCTGAGATCCGCATGGATAAACCCACAGTGGGGACAACTGATATTCGCATCTCTGGGCCTCATGTCATTGGGGTAGATCTGAGAACCCAAACAGACTTGCAACCTTCAGAAGGCCCAGAAGCTGGTTTTCGTATCACAGCGCCTGAAATAAATGGGAAAACTGCCGGTTCTGCCATAGACCTGAAAGCAGGGGTTTCAGGAGGTAAACTACCACAGTTTGGTATCTCAGGCCCCCAAGTGCAAGGTGATATGGGACATTTACAAGCTGATTTGTCATCACCACACCTCAAGGGTCCCTCAGTCAATGTTTTTGGGCCCCAAATTCAAGGTGGACTCAAAGGTCCATCAGTGAAGTTCCCTACGTCAAGCATAGAAGGCAATATTAAAGCTCCTGATCTCAGTGTTGCGGGCAAAGACAAAATAACATTTCCTGCAATGAAAATGCCAAAATTTGGTGTGTCATCTCCAACTTCTGACTTGGAGGTGCCTCAGCTTGATGTGACAGCTCCATCGGTGACTCTCAAAGGCCCAGAAGGTTCTCTTAGAGGGCCCACGTGTACGGTGGGAGGCCCTGGAATCAAACAGCCACAGGTGGATATGGGTCTAAAAGGACCTGAGTTCAAGGGTGGAGTGAAAGTTTCTTCTCCAACTTTGACAGGCCCCAAGGTTGATATCAGAGGGCCCAAGGTGGATCTCAGGGCTCCAGACACAGGAGTTGAAGTGGGCGGAGGAAACATTAAAATACCGCACATGAAACTTCCTAAATTTTCTGCATCAGGCCCCGCTGTGGATGTGACTGTTCCTAAAGGGGGAATTGATATCTCAGGACCCAAAGTGGATATTCAGTCTCCAGATGTGAGTATTGATGCACACGTGAAAGGACCCAACTTCGGCAAGCCTGAAATAGGTGGTCAGATACCCAGAATCTCTATGGCGGATGTTGACCTGAACCTTAAGGGTGCAAAAATGAAAGGAGCCATGGATATTTCAGGGCCAAAATTGGAAGGTGGCCTGAAAGGGCCTGGTGTGGACATTAAGGGCCCCAAGCTAGATGTTGAAGTTCCAGATGTTAACCTTGAGGGTAGCGTAAAAGGTCCAAAAGTCTCTATGCCGTCCTTGAAAACATCACCAGTAAAAATAACCGTGCCAGATGTGGACTTAAATTTGAAAGGGTCGAAACTAACAGGTGGTGTGGATGTCTCTGTGCCGAAGGTAAAAGGTGACTTCAGGGGCCCCCAGGTTGATATCAAAGGCCCCCACCTGGACCTAGATGCACCTGGCATTGGCCTCAAGGGCCCTGGAGGAGAACTGAAAGGCCCTCACATCAAAAGGCCAGAAATGCATGTCAAGACCCCTCAGATATCCATCCCAGATATCGACCTGAACTTGAAAGGCCCCAAAATTAAGGGCGATGTGTCCATTCCAAAGGTGGAAGGAGAACTGAAAGGCCCAAGTGTTGATATCAAGGGCCCCCACGTAGACCTTGGCAGACCAGATGTCGAACTTCACGGGCCAGAACTAAAAATGCCTAAAATGAAACTGCCTAAATTTGGTGTACCAGGCTTGAAAGGCGAAGCCCCTGCTGTCGATGTCGCCCTTCCAAAGGGAAACATTGGTGTTTCAGACCCTGGGGTAAAGATAGAGGCTCCTAGCTTGGACATCAAAGGCCCTGGAGGGCAGTTGAAAGGTCCCCACATCAAGATGCCAGAAATGCACGTGAAAACCCCTCAAATATCCGTGCCAGACATCGATCTGAACTTGAAAGGCCCCAAGGTCAAAGGCGACGTTTCCATTCCAAAGGTGGAAGGAGAACTGAAAGGCCCAGCAGTCGATATCAAAGGGCCCAAAGTGGATGTCAGTGCACCAGATGTTCAACTTCACGGACCAGAATTCAAGATGCCTAAACTAAAAATGCCAAAATTTGGCATGCCAGGCTTCAGAGCCGAAGTCCCTGATGTTGATGTCAATCTCCCAAAGGGTGACATTGGAATTTCGGGACCCAACGTGAGCCTTGAGGGTCCTGAAGGCAAAATTAAAAGTCCTCATGTCAAGATGCCTGAACTAAATATCCAGGCGTCAGAGATCTCAGTACCAAATGTGGACTTGAATTTGAAAGGGTCGAAACTAACAGGTGGTGTGGATGTCTCTGTGCCGAAGGTAAAGGGTGACTTCAGGGGCCCCCAGGTTGATATCAAAGGCCCCCACCTGGACCTAGATGCACCTGGCATTGGCCTCAAGGGCCCTGGAGGAGAACTGAAAGGCCCTCACATCAAAAGGCCAGAAATGCATGTCAAGACCCCTCAGATATCCATCCCAGATATCGACCTGAACTTGAAAGGCCCCAAAATTAAGGGCGATGTGTCCATTCCAAAGGTGGAAGGAGAACTGAAAGGCCCAAGTGTTGATATCAAGGGCCCCCACGTAGACCTTGGCAGACCAGATGTCGAACTTCACGGGCCAGAACTAAAAATGCCTAAAATGAAACTGCCTAAATTTGGTGTACCAGGCTTGAAAGGCGAAGCCCCTGCTGTCGATGTCGCCCTTCCAAAGGGAAACATTGGTGTTTCAGACCCTGGGGTAAAGATAGAGGCTCCTAGCTTGGACATCAAAGGCCCTGGAGGGCAGTTGAAAGGTCCCCACATCAAGATGCCAGAAATGCACGTGAAAACCCCTCAAATATCCGTGCCAGACATCGATCTGAACTTGAAAGGCCCTAAGGGCAAAGGAGACGTTTCCATTCCAAAGGTGGAAGGAGAACTGAAAGGCCCAGCAGTCGATATCAAAGGGCCCAAAGTGGATGTCAGTGCACCAGATGTTGAACTTCACGGACCAGAATTCAAGATGCCTAAACTAAAAATGCCAAAATTTGGCATGCCAGGCTTCAGAGCCGAAGTCCCTGATGTTGATGTCAATCTCCCAAAGGGTGACATTGGAATTTCGGGACCCAACGTGAGCCTTGAGGGTCCTGAAGGCAAAATTAAAAGTCCTCATGTCAAGATGCCTGAACTAAATATCCAGGCGTCAGAGATCTCAGTACCAAATGTGGACTTGAATTTGAAAGGGTCGAAACTAACAGGTGGTGTGGATGTCTCTGTGCCGAAGGTAAAGGGTGACTTCAGGGGCCCCCAGGTTGATATCAAAGGCCCCCACCTGGACCTAGATGCACCTGGCATTGGCCTCAAGGGCCCTGGAGGAGAACTGAAAGGCCCTCACATCAAAAGGCCAGAAATGCATGTCAAGACCCCTCAGATATCCATCCCAGATATCGACCTGAACTTGAAAGGCCCCAAAATTAAGGGCGATGTGTCCATTCCAAAGGTGGAAGGAGAACTGAAAGGCCCAAGTGTTGATATCAAGGGCCCCCACGTAGACCTTGGCAGACCAGATGTCGAACTTCACGGGCCAGAACTAAAAATGCCTAAAATGAAACTGCCTAAATTTGGTGTACCAGGCTTGAAAGGCGAAGCCCCTGCTGTCGATGTCGCCCTTCCAAAGGGAAACATTGGTGTTTCAGACCCTGGGGTAAAGATAGAGGCTCCTAGCTTGGACATCAAAGGCCCTGGAGGGCAGTTGAAAGGTCCCCACATCAAGATGCCAGAAATGCACGTGAAAACCCCTCAAATATCCGTGCCAGACATCGATCTGAACTTGAAAGGCCCTAAGGTCAAAGGAGACGTTTCCATTCCAAAGGTGGAAGGAGAACTGAAAGGCCCAGCAGTCGATATCAAAGGGCCCAAAGTGGATGTCAGTGCACCAGATGTTGAACTTCACGGACCAGAATTCAAGATGCCTAAACTAAAAATGCCAAAATTTGGCATGCCAGGCTTCAGAGCCGAAGTCCCTGATGTTGATGTCAATCTCCCAAAGGGTGACATTGGAATTTCGGGACCCAAGGTAGATATCGATGCTCCTAGCTTGGACATTGGAGGGCCTGAAGGAAAAATCAAAGGTCCCAAATTCAAGATGCCAGAAATGAACATTAAAACTCCTAAGATCTCCATGCCAGATATTGATTTGAACATGAAAGGGCCAAAAGTGAAAGGGGATCTAGATGTTTCTATGCCAAAAGTAGAAGGTGAACTGAAAGGTCCTGGAGTGGATATCAAGGGCCCCAAAATAGATGTTGACATGCCAGATATAGACCTTCAGGGTCCTGAAGGGAAGCTGAAAATGCCCAAGTTGAAAATGCCCAAATTTGGCATGCCAGGCTTCAAAGGGGAGGTTCCTGCTGTGGATGTCAGTCTTCCAAAGGGCAATATTGATGTTTCTGGTCCCAAAGTAGACATTGAAGGCCCCAACTTGGACATCGAAGGTCCAGAAGGGAAAATTAAAGGTCCGAAATTTAAGATGCCAGAAATGCATATCAAAGCTCCTAAAATCTCTATGCCAGACATTGACCTGAATTTAAAAGGCCCCAGGCTCAAAGGAGATGTCGATGTTTCTGTTCCAAAGGTGGAAGGTGACATGAAAGGCCCTGAAATAGACATCAAAGGGCCCAAAATGGATATCAGTGTCCCAGATGTTGATCTTCATGGGCCTGAAGGGAAACTGAAAATGCCCAAATTCAAAATGCCAAAATTTGGAATGCCAGGCTTCAAGGCAGAAGGCCCAGAAGTAGATGTAAATCTTCCAAAGGCAGATGTTGATATTTCTGCACCCAAGCTAGACATTGAAGCTCCTGGATTAGACATTGAAGGACCTGAAGGAAAAGCTAAAGGTCTCAAGTTTAAGATGCCTGAACTAAATATACATGCACCCAAGCTGTCTATGCCTGATGTAGATCTGAATCTAAAGGCCCCCAAAATGAAGGGTGAAATGGATGTGACTGTTCCAGAGATTGAGGGTGAACTGAAAGGACCCAACATTGATGTAAAAGGCCCAAAGGTTGATGTAGGTCTCCCAGATGTTGATCTTGAAGGTCCAGAGGCCAAGCTGAAGATGCCAAAAATGAAACTACCAAAATTTGGCATGCCTGGGTGGAAAGGGGAAGGCCCTGAAGTTGATGTAAGCCTTCCCAAAGGAGGCCTGGAAGTTTCAGGACCAAAGGTGGAAATTGACGCTCCTGATGTTGAGGTTGGAGGCCCTGAAGGAAAAATAAAAGGTCCCAGATTTAAAATGCCCGAAATGCATTTCAAAACACCCAAAATTTCCATGCCAGATATTGACTTGAATTTGAAAGGACCCAAGCTGAAGGGCGATGTCGATGTTTCTGTGCCAAAGCTGGAAGGAGAACTGAAGGGCCCTGCTCTCGACATCAGGGGACCCACGGTTGACATCAGTGGCCCAGATGCTGATCTGCAAGGCGGGGGGAAGCTGAAGATGCCGAAACTGAAGATGCCACATTTTAGCATGTCAGGCCCCAAGCTTGAAGGCCCTGATGTAGATCTGAGTTTGCCGAAAGGGGAAGTTGACATTACAGCCCCCCAAATAGATGTGCAAGTTCCTGAATTCGACATCGAAGGCCCTGAAGGGAAGCTGAAAGGTTCTAGGTTTAAGATGCCCAAACTAAACATCAAAGGACCTAAAGTCTCCATGCCAGATGTAGACTTGAACCTCAAGGCACCAGGAAGAAGCGGAGGGATGGATGTAACTGTCCCAAATATTGAAGGCAATTTAAAAGGACCCGAAATTGACATTAAGGCCCCCAAACTGGACATTGAAGCACCTGATGTTGATTTACAGGGCCCTGAAGGAAAGCTGAAAGGGCCCAGATTTAAGATGCCAGATATGCACTTCAAGGCTCCCAAAGTCTCCATGCCAGACATTGATTTAAATCTGAAAGGGCCTAAATTCAAGGGAGATGCGGAAATTTCAGCCCCCAAGTTGGAAGGTGATTTCAAAGGTCCTGAAATTGACATCAAAGCCCCCAAACTCGACATTGATGCCCCAGATGTTGAGCTACATGGGCCTGAAGGAAAACTGAAGATGCCTAAATTAAAAATGCCCAAATTTGGAATTCATGGCTTCAAAGGGGAAGCACCAGATGTGGATGTAAGCCTTCCCAAAGCAGATGTTGATATTTCTGGTCCCAAGGTTGACATTGAAGGACCACATCTGGAATTTGAAGGACCAGAAGGAAAGCTGAAAGGTCCCAGATTCAAGATGCCTGAGATGCATTTTAAAGCCCCCAAACTCTCCATGCCAGATGTTGATTTGAATTTGAAAGGCCCTAAATTTAAGGGAGATTATGATGTTTCCAGTCCAAAGCTTGAAGGTGAATTGAAGGGCCCAGGCATTGACATCACGGGACCTAAACTGGATGCTGGAGTCCCTGAAGTAGACATTGAAGGTCCTGAAGGGAAATGGAAAGGTCCCAAGTTTAAGATGCCTGAAATGCATATCAAGGCTCCAAAAATCTCCATGCCTGATGTCGACTTGAACCTGAAAGGCCCCAGACTCAAAGGCGATCTAGATGTTTCAGCACCCAAACTGGAAGGTGATTTGAAGGGACCAGACATTGACATCAAGGGTCCTAAGTTGGATATTGATGCCCCAGATGTGGACCTCCATGGGCCTGAAGGAAAACTGAAGATGCCTAAATTCAAAATGCCCAAATTTGGAATGCCTAGTTTCAGAGCCGAAGGCCCAGATGTGGATGTAAGCCTTCCCAAAGCAGACCTTGATGTTTCTATTCCCAAAGTTGACATTGAAGCACCAAGCTTGGACATTGAAGGCCCAGAAGGAAAAGTGAAAGGGCCGAAGTTTAAGATGCCCGATATGCATTTTAAAGCCCCCAAACTGTCCATGCCAGATGTTGATCTGAATTTGAAAGGTCCCAAATTGAAAGGAGACCTTGATGTTTCTGCTCCAAAATTGGAAGGTGACTTTAAAGGCCCAGATGTTGATATCAAAGGTCCCAAACTGGACATAGGTGCTCCCGATGTTGAGATTGGAGGCCCTGAAGGAAAGTGGACAAGTCCTAAATTCAAGATGCCAGAAATGCACATTAAAGCACCCAAAATCTCCATGCCAGATTTTGATTTGAACTTGAAAGGCCCTAAGGTGAAGGGAGATGTGGATGTGTCTGCGCCAAAGCTGGAAGGTGATTTGAAAGGTCCTGATGTTGATATCAAAGGGCCAAAATTGGACATTGATGCGCCTGATATTAACATTGAAGGTCCAGAGGGACAATGGAAAAGTCCTAAATTTAAGATGCCAGAAATGCACATCAAGGCACCTAAAATCTCCATGCCAGATGTTGATTTTAGTTTAAGAGGCCCTAAGGTTAAAGGGGACATGGATGTGTCCGCACCAAAGCTGGAAGGTGAGCTGAAGGCCCCAGAAGTGGACATCAAAGGGCCCAAGGTGGATGTTGATCTTCCTGATGTTGATCTAGAAGGACCTGAAGGGAAACTGAAAGGTCCCAAATTTAAGATGCCCGATATGCATTTTAAAACTCCCAAAATCTCCATGCCAGATTTTGACCTGGGCTTCAAGGGTCCTAAAGTGAAGGGGGATGTGGATGTTTCTGTACCAAAGTTGGAAGGGGATCTGAAAGGACCAGAAGTTGATATCAAGGGTCCTAAAGTTGATGTTGATATTCCTGATGTTGATATTGAAGGACCAGAAGGAAAACTGAAAGGTCCCAAGTTTAAGATGCCTGAAATGCATTTTAATGTTCCTAAAATCTCCATGCCAGATATTGATTTGAATTGGAGAGGCCCTAAAGTTAAAGGGGATGCTGATATTTCTGTACCTAAACTTGAGGGTGACTTGAAAGGCCCTCGTGTTGATATCAAGGGTCCTAAACTAGATGTTGATGTTCCTGATGTTGAGATTGAAGGCCCTGAAGGGAAGTGGAGAAGCCCCAAATTTAAGATGCCTGAAATGCACATCAAAGCACCTAAAATGTCTATGCCAGATTTTGACTTGAACCTGAAGGGTCCCAAACTGAAGGGAGATGCAGATGTTTCTTTGCCAAAGTTAGAGGGAGAGCTGAAAGGACCAGACATTGATCTTACAGGTCCCAAGTTAGACATTGATGCTCCTGATGTCACTTTAGAAGGTCCAGAGGGAAAGGTTAAAGGCCCAAAATTCAAGATGCCAGAGATGCATATCAAAGCCCCCAAAATTTCGATGCCAGATATCAAAGCTCCCAAACTCTCAATGCCAGATGTTGATTTGAATTTGAAAGGTCCTAAACTGAAGGGAGATGTTGACATTTCAATTCCAAAACTAGAAGGTGATCTGAAAGGTCCAGAAGTGGATGTCACAGGCCCCAAACTGGACATCGATGCTCCTGACATTGAGATTGAAGGCCCTGAAGGAAAGTGGAAAGGTCCTAAGTTTAAGATGCCTGAAATGCACTTCAGAACACCCAAAATCTCCATGCCAGATTTTGATCTGAATCTGAAAGGTCCCAAATTGAAGGGCGACATGGATGTTCCAAAGCTAGAAGGTGATCTGAAAGGCCCAGAAGTTGATATTAAAGCTCCAAAGTTGGACATAGATGTTCCTAGCATGGATATTGAGGGTCCAGAGGGAAAAGTGAAAGGTCCAAAATTCAAGATGCCTGAAATGAATATTAGAGCACCCAAGATCTCTATGCCAGATATCGACCTGAATTTGAAAGGACCCAAGTTGAAAGGAGATGTGGACGTTTCACTGCCAAAGGCAGAAGGACCTGACATTGACATCAAAGGTCCCAAGTTGGACATTGATGCCCCAGATTTAGAACTTCATGGTCCAGAGGGCAAGCTCAAAATGCCCAAATTTAAAATGCCGAAATTTGGAATGCCCAGCTTCAAAGGGGAAGGTCCTGAAGTGGATGTCAGTCTCCCAAAGGGAGACATTGATATATCTGCTCCAAAGGTGGACATAGAAGGCCCTGAATTGGACATCGAAGGTCCGGAAGGCAGAGTTAAAGGCTCCAAATTTAAGATGCCAGAAATGCACATCAAAGCTCCTAAAATCTCCATGCCAGATTTTGATCTCAATTTAAAAGGTCCAAAGCTCAAGGGAGATGTGGATGTTTCTGTTCCCAAGCTGGAAGGAGACTTAAAAGGACCTGACATTGACATCAAAGGACCCAAGGTGGATATTGACGTACCAGATGTTGACCTTCAGGGCCCCGAGGGCAGACTGAAAATGCCAAAATTCAAAATGCCTAAATTTGGAATGCCTGGCTTCAAAGGGGAAGGCCCTGAAGTCGATGTCAATCTCCCCAAAGGAGACATCAACATATCCGCTCCAAAGGTGGATATTGAGGGCCCTGATTTGGATATTGAAGGTCCAGAGGGCAAAATTAAAGGCCCCAAATTTAAGATGCCAGATATGCACATCAAGGCCCCGAAAATCTCTATGCCAGATGTTGACTTTAATTTGAAGGGGCCAAAACTGAAAGGAGATGTGGACGTTTCACTACCAAAGGTTGAAGGTGAACTGACAGGACCTGACATTGACATTAAAGGTCCCAAGCTCGACATTGAAGCACCAGATGTTGACTTACATGGCCCAGAAGGCAAATTGAAGATGCCGAAATTTAAAATGCCTAAATTCAGCATGCCAGGCTTCAAAGGGGAAGGTCCTTCAGTGGACGTGAGTCTTCCAAAGGGAGAATTAGATGTATCTGGCCCCAAACTAGACATTGAGACACCTGACTTAGAAATTGAAGGACCCGAAGGAAAGATCAAAGGTCCCAAGTTTAAGAAACCTGAAATGCACTTTAATGTTCCAAAAATCTCAATGCCAGATATTGACTTGAATTTGAAAGGTCCAAAATTGAAGGGAGAGCTGGAAGGTGATATTAAAGGTCCTAAAATCGAAGTGAAAGGGCCTGACATTGACCTAGAGGCTCCAAAAGTTGAAATTGAAGGAAAACCAAAGAAATCAAGATTCAAGCTTCCCAAGTTTAGCTTTTCTAGCTCTAAAGGTCAGACCCCAGAGGTTGATGTAAAGCTTAAAAAACCGGATGTTGATATAGCAGGTCCCAAAGTTGATATTCAAGCTCCAGACGTTGATGTCCATGGGAAAGCGAAAGGTTCTAAATTTAAAATGCCTTCCCTGAACATTTCTTCACCTAAAGTTTCCATGCCTGATGTGGAACTAAATTTAAAAGGGCCAAAATTAAAAGGTGATTTGGATGTTTCTGTCCCAAGCTTGGAAGGGGATCTGAAAGCTCCCGACCTTGACATCAAAGGCCCCAAGTTGGATGTCGATGCACCAGATGTTGATCTCCATGGACCAGAGGGCAAACTCAAAATGCCCAAGTTTAGAATGCCCAAATTTGGTATGTCTGGCTTCAAAGCAGAAGGTCCGGAGGTGGACGTAAATCTTCCCAAAGCCGACATTGATGTTTCAGGTCCCAAGTTGGACATTGAAACTCCTGACTTGGATATAGAAGGCCCTGAGGGGAAGATCAGAGGCCCTAAATTTAAAATGCCTGAAATGCATTTCAATGCCCCCAAGATTTCAATGCCAGACATTGATTTGAATCTGAAGGGACCCAAGCTGAAGGGAGATGTAGATGTTTCAGCACCAAAGTTGGAAGGAGACTTGAAAGGCCTTGATGTTGACATCAAGGGCCCCAAACTGGATGTTGACCTTCCTGATGTTGACATTGAAGGTCCAGAAGGAAAACTCAAAGGTCCCAAGTTTAAGATGCCTGACATGCATTTTAAAGCACCTAAAATCTCCATGCCAGATTTCGACTTGAACCTAAAAGGCCCCAAGCTGAAGGGAGATGTTGATGTCTCAGCGCCAAAGTTGGAAGGAGACTTGAAAGGTCCTGAAGTAGACATCAAGGGCCCCAAAATGACTGTTGATGTTCCTGATGTTGATATTGAAGGGCCGGATGGAAAGCTGAAGGGACCCAAGTTTAAGATGCCCGATATGCATTTTAAAACCCCGAAGATCTCCATGCCAGATTTTGACTTGAATCTGAAAGGCCCCAAAGTGAAAGGAGATGTGGATGTGTCCGTGCCGAAGTTGGAAGGCGATCTGAAAGGCCCTGATGTTGATATCAGGGGACCGAAACTGGATGTAGAGATGCCCGATGTTGACATAGAAGGCCCAGAAGGAAAATGGAAAGGTCCTAAATTTAAGATGCCAGAAATGAACATTAAAGCACCTAAAATCTCCATGCCTGATGTGGATTTCAACCTGAAAGGCCCCAAACTCAAAGGCGATCTAGATGTTTCAGCACCCAAACTGGAAGGCGATTTGAAGGGACCAGACATTGACATCAGGGATCCTAAGTTGGATATTGATGCCCCTGATGTGGACCTCCATGGGCCTGAAGGAAAACTGAAGATGCCTAAATTCAAAATGCCCAAATTTGGAATGCCTAGTTTCAGAGCTGAGGGCCCAGATGTGGACGTAAGCCTTCCCAAAGCAGACCTTGATGTTTCTGTTCCAAAAGTCGATATCGAAGCACCATGTTTGGACATTGAAGGCCCAGAAGGAAAAGTGAAAGGGCCGAAGTTTAAGATGCCCGATATGCATTTTAAAACCCCGAAGATCTCCATGCCAGATTTTGACTTGAATCTGAAAGGCCCCAAAGTGAAAGGAGATGTGGATGTGTCCGTGCCGAAGTTGGAAGGCGATCTGAAAGGCCCTGATGTTGATATCAGGGGACCGAAGCTGGATGTAGAAATGCCCGATGTTGACATAGAAGGCCCAGAAGGAAAATGGAAAGGTCCTAAATTTAAGATGCCAGAAATGAACATTAAAGCACCTAAAATCTCCATGCCTGATGTGGATTTCAACCTGAAAGGCCCCAAACTCAAAGGCGATCTAGATGTTTCAGCACCAAAACTGGAAGGCGATTTGAAGGGACCAGACATTGACATCAAGGGTCCTAAGTTGGATATTGATGCCCCAGATGTGGACCTCCATGGGCCTGAAGGAAAACTGAAGATGCCTAAATTCAAAATGCCCAAATTTGGAATGCCTAGTTTCAAAGCTGAGGGCCCAGATGTGGACATAAGCCTTCCCAAAGCAGACCTTGATGTTTCTGTTCCAAAAGTCGATATCGAAGCACCATGTTTGGACATTGAAGGCCCAGAAGGAAAAGTGAAAGGGCCAAAGTTTAAGATGCCCGATATGCATTTTAAAACCCCGAAGATCTCCATGCCAGATTTTGACTTGAATCTGAAAGGCCCCAAAGTGAAAGGAGATGTGGATGTGTCCGTGCCGAAGTTGGAAGGCGATCTGAAAGGCCCTGACGTTGATATCAGGGGACCGAAGCTGGATGTAGAAATGCCCGATGTTGACATAGAAGGCCCAGAAGGAAAATGGAAAGGTCCTAAATTTAAGATGCCAGAAATGAACATTAAAGCACCTAAAATCTCCATGCCTGATGTGGATTTCAACCTGAAAGGCCCCAAACTCAAAGGCGATCTAGATGTTTCAGCACCCAAACTGGAAGGCGATTTGAAGGGACCAGACATTGACATCAAAGGTCCTAAGTTGGATATTGATGCCCCAGATGTGGACCTCCATGGGCCTGAAGGAAAACTGAAGATGCCTAAATTCAAAATGCCCAAATTTGGAATGCCTAGTTTCAAAACCGAAGGCCCAGACGTGGACGTAAGCCTTCCCAAAGCAGACCTTGATGTTTCTGTTCCAAAAGTTGACATTGATGCACCAAGATTGGACATTGAAGGCCCAGAAGGAAAAGTGAAAGGGCCGAAGTTTAAGATGCCCGATATGCATTTTAAAACCCCCAAAATCTCCATGCCGGACATTGACTTGAATCTCAGAGGCCCTAAAGTGAAAGGAGATGTTGATATTTCTGTGCCAACATTGGAAGGTGACCTGAAAGGCCCAGATGTTGATATCAAGGGTCCTAAACTGGACATCGATGCTCCCGATTTTGAGATTGAAGGCCCTGAAGGAAAGTGGAAAAGTCCTAAATTTAAGATGCCAGACATGCACTTTAAGACACCAAAAATCTCTATGCCAGATATGAACCTGAACCTGAAAGGCCCTAAAGTTAAAGGTGATATGGACGTTTCTGTCCCGAAGATAGAAGGAGATTTAAAAGGTCCTGAAATTGACATCAAAGGGCCTCAGATTGATGCTCCTGACATTGATATTGAGGGACCAGATGGAAAACTGAAAGGCCCTAAATTTAAAATGCCTGAAATGAACATCAAAGCTCCCAAAATCTCCATGCCTGATATAGACTTCAACCTGAAAGGCCCCAAAATGAAGGGGAACATGGACTTGGATGTTTCACTCCCGAAAATGGAAGGTGATTTGAAGGGACCGAGTGTTGATATAAAGGGGCCCAAACTGGATGTTGATGTACCTGATGTTGAGTTGGAATGTCCTGAAGGAAAACTGAAAGGTCCAAAATTTAAGATGCCCGATATGCATTTTAAAACCCCCAAAATCTCCATGCCAGATTTTGACCTGAATTTGAAAGGCCCCAAAATGAAAGGAGACGTGGACGTGTCAGTACCACAAGTTGAAGGTCGTTTGGAAGGACCTGATGTTAATATTAAAGGTCCAAAACTGGACATTGACACTCCTGATTTGGACCTCAAGGGTCCAGAAGGGAAACTGAAAGGCCCCAAGTTTAAGATGCCTGAAATGCACATTAAGACTCCCCACATCTCCATGCCTGACGTAGATCTCAGTCTGAAAGGACCTCAGATGAAAGGGGACCTGAGTGTTTCTGGTCCAAAGCTGGAGGGAGACTTGAAAGGTCCAGATGTTGACATTAAAGGGCCTAAACTGGACATTGATATGCCTGATGTTGATATCCATGGCCCAGATGGAAAGATAAAGTTCCCCAAGATGAAGCTCCCGAAATTTGGCATGCCAGGGTTCAAAGGAGAAGGACCTGACGTGGACGTGAATCTGCCTAAAGGAGAATTTGAAGTATCAGGTCCCAAAGTCAACCTTGAAGGTCCCAGCTTGGGCATCGAAGGACCAGAAGGACAGCTCAAAGGCCCCAAGCTCAAGATGCCTGAAATGCATTTCAAGACACCAAAAATCTCCATGCCAGAGATCGACTTAAATCTGAAAGGCCCCAAGGTGAAAGGAGATGTGGATGTTCCCAAGATTGAAGGTGGTGTAAAAGGTCCAGGGATTGGTATTAAAGGTCCGGGAATTGAAGCAAAAGGTCCTGAAATTGATCTAGAGTGTCCAGATGTAAATATTGAAGGGCCAGAAGGAAACGTTAAACTCCCCAAATTTAAGATGCCAAAATTCGGGTTTGGAGCAAAAAGCCCAAAAGCAGATATAAAATCTCCCACTGTGGACATCTCTCTTCCAGAAGGTGAACTGAATGTTGAGTCACCTGACATCCATGTATCCGGCAAAGGGAAGAAAAGCAAATTCAAGATGCCCAAAATACATATGAGTGGGCCTAAGGTTAAAGGCAAGAAGGCCGGCCTGGATGTGAGTGGGGAGATGAGTGCAGGTGTGAAGGCACCCGATTTAGAAGGAAGTCTCTCTTCCCCAGATGCTTCACTGAAGGGGGACATTAACATCAAGTCGCCCAAGGAAAAGAAACCTATGTTTGGGACAATCGAATTTAAGATAAAATCACCTGTGTTTAAGGCTGATGCTTCTTTGCCAAAAGTGGAAGGAGAAATCAGGGCACCAGGAATAGATCCATCTGTAACATCACCAGGTTTCGACATTACTGTTCCAAGCACAAGTCTCCCCGATGTTAATGTTGGAGGTCCTGAGATCAGTCTTAAGAAACCAAAGTTCAAAGTCTCCGGTGGGAACGTGGATCTGGCTGGCCCCAAATTGGAAGGAGACATCAAAGTGCCAAGTATTGATGCAAATGTTAGTGCTCCTGACATCAGCCTGAAAGGTCCTTCAGTGAACCTACCTTCGGTGGACATTTCAGCTCCCACTGTCTCAGCTCCTGCTCTGGACATTAATTTGAAAGGACCAAAGGTAAAAGGTGATTTTGAACTTCCCAAAGGAGAATTGCAAGGCCCAGAAGCGAAACTGAAGCTCCCCAAGTTTGGCTTGCCAAAGATCGGAAAACCAGGAGTGAAATTAGAAGGGCCGGAGGTGGATCTTCAAGGACAACTGCCCTCAGCAAGCATTGATGTTTCAGCCCCAAGTATCAAAGGAGATATGAATGTTCCTGCAGTTGATGTAAACTTGAAAGGACCAAAATTTGGAGGAGATCTGGGTCTTTCCGGTGATATTAAAGGCCCAACGATCGGAATTGGGATGCCAGATGCTGTCGGTGGTTTTGAAGGGAAGCTTAAAATGCCAAAGTTCCAAGGTCTAGATGTCAGCTTGAATGCTCCAGACCTAGATGTGAAAGGACCGTCAGTGAAAATGACCTCTGGAGGAGGCGTTTCTGCACCTGATTTTGATGTGAATTTGAAAGGACCAAAGATCAAAGGCGATCTTGGCATTTCTGGTGACATTAAGTCTCCTAAGGTGGCTGTTGAGGCACCCAGTGTTAACTTGGAAGGTTCTGGAGGCGAAATTAAACTTCCTTCCCTCAAGCTTCCCCAGTTTGGCATCTCCAGCTCTCATGGCGAAGGTTCTAACATGGATGTGAATATTGCAGGACCACAAATCAAAGGACCTGATTTCAAAGGGCCTACCATTTCTGCTCCAGCATTTTCCACCCCAGACATGGACTTGAACCTGAAAGGACCAAGCTTCAAAGGCGACGTTAATATTGCTGGTGACATGAAAGGTCCAAAAATTGAAGTACCGGGTGTAAAAATATCTGGCATGGACTTTGATGCTGGTGCTCCTGATGTCAGTTTGAGAGGACCTTCACTCAACGTGTCAGCTCCCAAAGTTTCTGGACCAGACTTTGACATAAATTTGAAAGGGCCTAAAGTCAAAGGAGATCTTGATATGCAGGGGGCAGGAGGCTTTCAGTTTTCTGGACCAAAAGTAGGTGGTAATCTGAAAGGTCCTCAGGTAGAAATCAAGGGTCCTTCTGTTGGGGTGGATGTTCCACAAGGCCATTTGGAAAGCCCGTCTGGAAAAGTGTCGTTCCCTAAGATGAAAATACCAAAATTTGTGGTAATGGGGCAGGAGTTAACAGGAAGGGAGGTTGGAGTTGATGTTGATTTCCCTCAGGCTCCACAAGCTAGTCTCCCTGCTGGGGCAGTGAATGTTGAACTAGAAGAGCCTGACATTAAGCTTAAGAAATCTAAAATTAAAATGCCAAAGTTCGCTTTCTCTAAATCTAAGGTCAAAGGCAGTGTTGGGTCCCCAGAGGTCTCGGCATCTGTTTCAGGGGGTGAGGGAGAGTTAAAGGCTAGTTTGGGTTCCTTGGAGGGTGACTTGGAAGCAGGTGAAGCAACTGCCTCTCCAAAAGGGAAGTTCTCGTTTTTTAAGACCAAAAAGTCACGTCACCGGTCATCATCCTTCAGCGACGAGCATTCCTCACATTCAACGCCAACCGGCACACTGGAGCATGAGGGCAAGCATGCCAAGCTGAAATTTGGTACCTTTGGGGGGATAGGGTCAAAATCTAAAGGTTCCTATGAGGTAACGGGAAGTGATGATGAGGGAAAGATGCAGGGTAGTGGGGCCTCACTAGCATCCAAGAAGTCTCGGCTATCTTCCTCCTCGAGTAACGACAGTGGGACGAAAGCAGGGTTTCGAATGCCATCAGTGGAGTTGACTGTGGCAAAGAAGAAAGAATAAAATGAGGGGGATCTCATGTACATATTGTCTGTGTATATATATCTCTTTACTTTCTGTGTGTGTATATAAATTTTACTAGCTTGAAATACTCAGCAATAAAATAGGTGATGCCCAGTGAAATGGTAGGCCTTAACTGAGATACGACTACTGTTTTACTGCGATCAGGGAGGTGTCCACCAATATGTTTCCATCTTCCATAGATATAGATAGATATCTGACAGAAACTGGCACAGCTGCTCTTTTGGTTAAGTCCTTAGCGGGGTTGTGGCAGTTGAAAGCCACATCCATTTCTGAGAATGCACTACTCCACTTTCCCACAATGCACTGCGGCCACAAGTGCTGAAAATTGTGCCAAATCAGTTAGCAGAAAGACAAGGACTGCTTGGTGAATCAGCCATTTCCATTGAATTAATCTGTATAATTTGTGCCAAGGCTAATTCTGAATGACTTACCCATTAGAGAGGAAGGGCCAGGATCTTTTATGATATGTAAAGTTGTGCCATGAGGGAGATGGATGTACAGTTCCTCAGATGTATTTTGGAAGTTTTCTCTTGTGTTCAGGATTAGGGTTTTGCGCTTCGTATGCTGAGAGCTTTACGTTTACTTTAGCAAGCTTTAAAACAAATATATATATATATAATTTTCATTTTGGTGAACATCTTCAGTGTTGGTCTACTACGGAAATAGTTCAATTTAATGATCTTTTGGGGCTTTTATTTGCAGGGGGTTGGAATTTCTATCATTAAAATGGATATATTGAAAGAAAAACACTGTAAAAGTATATAGAAGCAACTGAGATGTGTCAAATTTCAACCTCACAAGATTTGTGTTGTCTCAAAAGGTTTTTATTAGCTGGGAAAGGGCAGAAAAGTACATCTGCAAAGACACCCATGGTTTAATTTAATTTAAGTTTTGTTGGGTTAAAGAATACTTTGCTACAATAAATTAACTGAAAACTAACTTTTGTACATTCTGACGTCCTCTTAGTTGTCTCCATATATTTGACATTCGTTGTATTATAAGACAGGACTTTCTCTTAGTTGTGGTGCGAAGATTCTATCTGCTACTCTAGTCCCTTTCACCCTTAAAGGTATTTGTTATCTTTTCGTTAACAAATGTATCTTGATTTAAAACACAAGCCAGACAAAATAAGAAAAGGAAAACTCTTTCTCAGCACTTTAAGGCAAATTAATTGAGAATGTAAGGAAACTGATCTTGTAAAATGCAAATAAACTGTTTATTAACCTTTGACTTCCTGCAGCTTTTCTTTGCCAAGTCTCCAGACCTCTCTGTTCTTTAAAGCAATAGAACAAAGTTTGAGTCCAGTGGCGCCACTAAGACCAACAAAGTTTTGTTTTGGGTATAAGCGTTCCTGTACATGGCGTACACACAAAAGCTTATACCTTGAATAAAACTTTGTTGGTCTTAAAGGTGCCACTGGACTGAGACTTTGTTCTGTTGTTTTTTACCAACACGGCTACCCCAGTTGAGTCTATCTTTAAAGCAATAGTCATTCCTGGGAATAAACTGGGAGAACCTTAATGGAACCTCAATATTCAAAGGCAGTCTGCCTGTGTCAGATACTAGAGAGACAGCAAAAAGAAGATTAACGGTTCAAAAATAATACAAACTACAAAAAGAACCATGAAAAAAAGATGCCAGGATCTTCTAAAAATATTATTATAGATTCATATCCAAGCATATTAATAAAGAATCCCTTTTACCGATCAGAATAACCAAACAAGGCTCTCAAATAGTATACAGTGTACCTAATGTATATAATGCAAACACTATTTCCAAGCAGTGTACAATATGTAGTGTACAATATGATATGAAATGATAAAAATGTACACTGTTTGGAAATAGTGTTTGCATTACATACATTAGAAACACCTATATTATTTGAGAGCCTTGTTTTGATATTCTGATCTGTAAAAGAGATTCTTTATTAATATGCTTGGATATGACTCTATAATATAATATTTTGAGAAGATCCTGGCATCTTTTTTCATGGTTCTTTTTGCAGATAGTAGAGATAAGCATCCAGGGATGGCCCTCACCTTCACATTCTGCTTAACCATTGTTTGAAACTAGATCCTGGACTAAAATGGAATTTTGGTCTGTTCCCAAAAAACTCCCTTTATGTTCGAGTCAGCCACTTCAGAGCACTATGTAAAGGGATGGCCATTGAAGGGAGACACTCAAATAGAGAACAAACATTTCCTATAGAGGACCTATCCAGTTTGCTGTAAAAACAAAACAAAACAAAACAAGAACATCTCCAAAGATATTAGCAGAATTGTCAGCAATCCACATAGGATGGGGCATTCACCAAAAAACGTTCCAAGACTTGGACAAGCATATGCTATACATCTGCAGAGGAACAAACGGATGACCACCCTGAAGGGGTCTGATTCTGTGTTGAGCATAATAACGAGCTTCTTAACTCTTTCAAAAATGAAACCTGAGGTTCTTGACCATCTGTGAACCCCGGCCATTTGTAGATCAAGCCAAATGTGGTTTGAGATTTGGGGGCAGTGCCCGAGAAGGGCGGAGTTTGCGGATGGAAGGGAACTGCACGGAGGTGTGATATGTCCTGTGATGTCATATGCTATGACACCACACTCAGGTCAAAAGTCAGCTCCTCCCCTCATTCCCATGAGGTCACTTCCTCCCACCGAAATTCAGGTTTTCCATTTCAGTTTTCCACTGCATTCTGAAGGCCTGCCTTAACGCTCGTATTCATTCGTTTACTCCATTTATGCCCCACCCTTTCTCCCCAGTGGTGACCTAAAGCGGCTTACATCCCTCGCCTCGTCTCTGTTTTATCCGCACAAAAAACTCTGAGGTAGGTTGGCCGAGAGTGTGTGACTGATCCAGGGTCACCCAGCAAATTGGTTGAGAGCCAGTTTGGTGTTGCCAAGTGGTTAGGAGCACGGACTCTAATCTGGGAGAACTGGGTTTGATTCCCCACTACGCCACATGCAGCTGCTGGTGTGACCTTGGGTCAGTCACAAGTTCTTTCAGAGAAGTTCTCAAAGAGCTCTCTCAGCCCCACCTACAGGGTGTCTGTTGTGCAAAGGGAATGGATAGGAGATTGTAAGCCACTCTGAGACTCCTTCGGGTAGTGAAGGGCAGGGTATAAATCCAGTCTCTTCCTCCTCCTCTTCTTCCTCCTCTGGGATTCAAACCTGGATCTCCCAAACTCTAGTCCGACATACTGCACAACACTGTTCAAATGCATTGGATGTGCTGTAGAGAAAGATGCATCTACACCTTATTCAGAGATCTAACTTCCAAAGGCTCTGGGGAAGAAGCTAAATGTCAATGCTAACACCAAAAGGCAAAAGGGAGGGGAGTTATTTAAAGAGACATGTACCAGAAAAAGCTGTCCATGCAGCTGCTAGTATCCTCCACCAGACATGAATCAGTGACTTTGGAGAATAGTGCCTACAGGGTGTATTTCAACTGGCTTTTAAAACAGAACTGTAGCCAGGTGGGGTCAGTGGGTGCACCCCACTACAACAGTGATTCACCCCTTCTAACTTTTTTAAAAAACAGCAGGCTGTTTTTAAATTGCAGCTTTTCCTGGAAGGCACTTGGCAATGACTAACTACAAAAAGAATTTCAATAACCATAATAGATACACAAATCATTGGAACATTCCAAAATATTAAAACCATCTGCCATGCTTTGGTTGTGTCTGCCAGGTGGTTTGTCTCTTCATATGGGGTTTCATTTGCTCCTTTCATAGTGGGGTACTGGATGCATAGAGGAGCTGAGGTGGCTCAAGTGGTTAAGACGCTGAACTGCAGGCTGTGGAAGGGCAGTAGTTCAGCAGTTCAAGACACGAGTTGCCGCATGATCGAGTGAGCTCCCGTCTCTAGTTCCAGCTTCTGCCAACCTAGCAGTTCGAAAGCAAGAAATTGCAAGTAGATAAATAGGGACCACTTCGGTGGGAAGGTAACAGCGTTCCGTGCACCTTGGTGTTTAGTCGTGCCGGCCACATGACCACGGAAACATCTTCGGACAGCGCTGGCTCTTCGGCTTTGAAACAGAGATGAGCACCGCAACTCTAGAGTCGGATTCGACCGGCTTTCGAGCAAGGGAACCTTTACCTTTACTTACTGGATGCATAGAACACAGAGAGAAAATTAGGAAATTCACAAACGTACAAATCTGTCTTATTCTGAACCGAGGCCCATCAAGGTCAGTATTGTCTACTTGGACTGCAGCAGCAGCCCTCCAGAGTCTGAAAAGGAGGCCTTTCATATCAACTATTTCCTGGTCTTTTTAACTGGAGATGCCAGGGATTGAACTTGGGACCTTCTGCACGTGAAGCAGATGCTCTACCCCAGAGCCATCGCCCTTCTTCCTCTCAAAGGCACCTCAAAGGATGGTAGTTTATGGCTTTTGACTCTGCCTGTCTCGGAGTATAGCAGAAATCAGTTGCCATAAAGCTCTCTGCACATCCCCAGAGGCTGCACCCCATGTGACATCCATGGCCTCGCTTCAGTCATGCTATCGCCTCGTTTTTATCCTACCTTTCCTCCAGAGAGCTCCAGGCACCAATTTAGGGTTGCCATCCCCCAGGTAGGGCCTGGAGAATTCTTGGAATTAAAACTGATGTCCAGATTATAGAGGTCAGTTCCCCTGAAGAAAATGGTGGCTTTGGAGGGTGGACTCTGTGGCATTACACCCTGTTGAGGTCCCTCCCCAAACCGCACCCTTCCCAGGCTTCCCCCCCCCCCCAAATCCCCAGGAATTTCCCAACCCAGAGTTGGTAACCTTAGGCACCATACACAGTTCGCCCCCATCCCATATTGTTTTTTTTATTTATAGTTTTATTAATTTTTTATAAGTAACTGAAGCAGGGCTATTTTTGGGTAGGAATGCGCAGGAACGGCGTTCCGGCTGGCTCCCAAGTTGGCTACGCCCAGCAGGAACTCATTAGCATAATAGGCCACACCCAACAGCAGAAACGCATTAGAATTGGCTACATTAGGGGTGTGTGCCCTAACATGCAAAGGAGTCCCTGCTACAAAAAAAGGCCCTGGGTTTTGACCACAAACAAGGTCAACAGAATAAGAAGCTAAAGGTGGGTGTGACAGGATGACCACACTTCTGGTAACATGGGGGTGTGGCCTAATGTGATAATGAGCTGTGCTGTCAGGGGTGTGGCCCAATATTCTAATGAGTTTCTGCTGTTATGTGTGGCCTATTATGCTAATGAGTTCCTGCTGGGCTTTTTCTACAAAAAGAGCCCTGATTACTGAAGTATTTATATTGTTCTCTGAGCAACCCTGTGAGGCAGGTTGGGCTGTGAGAGGGCTGCCCAGGAAGCGTCATGGCAGAGTGTTGTTTAGCATCTGGATCCCCCAGGGCCACGCGGACCAGCACACCACACTGGCTCTCAGTGAAAAAGATTTCTCTTTGGTTACGACTATGGTGGTGAGGGAGCCCAGGATCTTAAAAGGGCTCAGGAGTAACAAAGTAAGCTACTATTTATGTAAGGGTCCCTTCACATCTTTAAAAGTTCACACGTCCGCCCTGTGGACTTTCTATAGATGTGTTATTATGGGAGTTCTGATAGGGTTATCCACTCCCATTTGGGAAATGCTGGACATTTGGCCTGGAGAGCCTGGGGAGGGTGGGGTTTGGAGAGGGAGGGACCTCACTCACTGCCACAGAGTTCACCCTCCAAAGCGGCTGTCTGGAGAGCTGTTGTGATCCTGGGAGGTTTTCAGACCCCACCTGGAGGTTGGCAACCTATAAAATCAATTCCCAGGTGCAGAGGGGCCCAATTTGCATCAGAATCTCAAAAATGTGAGAAAAGTGTCATCGTCCCCCCCAATGTTGTTTTGTTTTCCCAAGCTGAGAGAGCTGGAGGGCACATTTCCCACCCCCACCCCCTTGCACACCCCTGAAAGTAGCTCCCAGCACAGAACTACGGGCACAGGGCCGACCCAAAGCTAAGTCCTGGTGGCGGCTATGTGTTCACACCACGTTGTCTTTTTGGTGTGAAAAGGCGGCTAACTTGTTCTAAGCAAGTTACTTTAAAATAATGGTTTTATCCAATTCCGTTCCTGAGGCTAACAATTCATAAGCCAGGGAATGCACTGAAGGCGTGTAGGCCTGGCAAGAAGGTTCTAGGAGTTTTAGTTGATTATGAAGAAATTGCTGGTTTTTTTGAAGCCCTCTTTGGAAATGGGGCAGCTCTATCAAGGAAGAAAGGCAGGCTGGTTACTG